ACCCCCAAAAGAAAAAAATAGTCCATTCTCCCTCCTCCAAATCCAATAGATTCCGCTGGATTCAGTCCTTAGTTAGTTCAAATTATCCATCGGGAAATAAGCATTCATTCAATATGATAATGCAAGTATTATTATGGACTATAACAGTTTCAAATGACTTCTGGACAGTCCACGTACCTAATCTCATCATCACGCCCCTCCTCTTACACACTGATAAGTCTTTTGTGTCGGGATGGCTTAACTTTTGTAAGTCGAGTTTTCTAGTCCACCAACTTCTATGACCTAGAAATTGTCTGATTTCCAATTGGTGTGTTTTCTAAGCTAATTTAACATGGTGGGCGGCATGTTAGTATATAACAAGTCGAACATCCTGGTATAGGTAAGATGGACCTCGTCGAGATCTATCATATATCAAATCCGTCAAAATATCTTGTTCTGAAGCCGAGTTATCTGCCGGCCCGCCATCTGCCCGGGCCGGCCTGTTTGCAACAATGCTTTGAGCATCTAAAAACGGCTCCAAATTCAAAAATTTGGGTACCAAAAATTCCGCAATTCTAGAATTCATAATCCCAAAAATGCCGAAATCTTACAGAACAACTCTCAAATGCACCTCCCACAATGGCCAAAACCCAAACAAGCCGGATGGATTATCATTGTCGGCCGTGAATTCAACGATCAAATTCTGAATACCACTACCGTCGTCGGGTCGCATTCGACACGTTCAACGGCTAAATTGGATATCAGAATTCCAGCGGCAAAGTAAGAACATTGATTTTTTTTTTCTAGAATAGCTTAAATTTGCGTATTTCAATGATAAAAATGTTCAGAGGAAAACATTCGCTTTCCGTTTACATTCTCAGCGATTGCTATCTGGGAATCGACCAAGAGTACACACTTCGACTGGATGTTTCTTAAATATTGATTTTCCTTGTTTTTGTTGGAAATTTCTAGAATTTTCGATTTTTTGTTCCCAGATGACTCATCGCTTTTTCATATCTTTCTTGTAGTCTTTAGAATATTTTTCCCATTTTCTATTGTTTCTCATCTCCCAGTGCCTCCCAAAAAGCTGTGTTAAAATTTACTCACTTTTTTCCAGATTTCTGTATGTTAATCTTCTTGTTTCTTTAGTTTTTCATGGGGTTTTCTAGGTGTTTTCCGTTTCTTTGATTTTCGAAAATTGTATTCTTTTTTGTCTATTTGAGCACTTTGCTTGTTTCGGAATGGTCCGCACTGCACCCAGACATCAATAAACATCTTCTTTTTCAACTTTTCTCTCTTTTTTGCAAAAAAATCTACGGAAATAGGTGGAAATAGGCCGAAAACGACAAAAAAAACAAAACATCTGCAAAAAATTCACCTACAGTAGTCCGTTTAAAGGCGCATGCCGCGTTTTGTAGCAATGTACCGCAGCGAGAACTGCAACTACTGTATTTTGCAATGATTTTCGATTTTTTTTCAGAAGTTACTTGCGCACGATGACACCGGAAAATGCAGTTTTACATGTGAGTTTTTGCCGAAAAACCCGTTTTTAGGGTCGAAAAATTCGAATTTTCTAGAATTTACGCGATTCGATAAGCCGTATTGTCGACAATTTGCATTTTACGAGCATCGACGAAGCTGCGCATGCCCGGCTCGTTGGTCTAGTCGCCGATAAGCTGACGACGATGGGTGACACGTGTCGAGCACTTCTGGAGAATTGTTCGTTCGGGAAATATGGAAAAATTCTGGAAAAAAAATTGAAAAATCGATTTTTCAGGAAAAGCAATTTTCGGCTTTATAAATTTAAGACGATCTAAAAATCTTTAAGAATGTTTTTGAAACATCTGTGGACATCAGGATGCACAGAAGAACAACATTTTTTAAAAAATTCAAAATTTCCGAAAATCTAAATTTTTTGCAGCTGGAAGAACGGGAATCGGCTTGAATTCGGCGATCGATTTGAAATATTTATTCAAAATTCATCATGTCGATTTGCGCAGCCTTCTGGAGTACACACAACAAGTTCGACCATTTCCGCCGAAAGTATGGGAGAGTTTTTGGGAAATTCTGGGAAAATTTCTGAAAATTCTTATTTTTTAAAGTTTTGAAAGTTCAAAAAATTTCAAAACTTTTCAACTTTCGAGTTCTTTGAAAATTCTCATCTCTGCAACCTAAAAATTTGAAATTCTCAAAAAATTACCTCTCTAAAAATCTGAAAAATCCCAAATTCCAAGATTCAGAAATTATAAAAATCTGAAAATTCTAGAAAATTCAGATCTCCAGAATTAAAAATTCGAAATTTGTTCTGAGAAAATCCCAAACATACTTCAAAAAATCCAAATTTTTGAGTTTTGAAAGTCTGAAATCTAAAAAATCTTTCGAAAATCCCAAAAATCCCAAAATAATCCAATTTCAGAACTACGAAATTCACGGAGACGAGTCTGCGGCGATGCTGAAATCGAAAAAATTGAAAAACGAAAATTTGAAAAAACCGGAAAAACCAAAAGTGATTCGACATCCCACACCGCCGAGTTATAAGTAAGGAAAATTATATGAATTTGAAAATTTTCAAAAACTCAAATTTTTAGAAATTTTAAACTTTCAGAATTCTAAGAATCTGTACTTCGGACCAAAATTTTTTGTTCGAAATTTCAAAAATTTAGAACCTTAAAATCCCGAAATCTCTGAATTTTAAATATTCAGAATCTCAAAATATCGATTTTCAGCATTCCAATCTACGATAACATGTCCCCTCACCAACTCGGCTACAACTCCGAAGTCGATGCTGAAGCCACGCCCCTAATTCCCGATTTTCCAAATTCCACAAAAATTCCGTCGACACCACCATCAGAATCCCCTCAAATTCATCATCTTCCACCGCCGCCACCACCTCCTCCGATTCCTCCGATTCCATATTTTCCAACGTCTTCTGAACGACTTTTCGAAGAATTCATCCCGATTTTCGATCCGATAGTTCCACCGCCGCCAGTTTACACTGTTCCAGAACCTGTCGTTAAGCTCAAAATATTCAAAGTATTTTTTTTTCTTTTTTATGACTGAAAATATCCGAAAAAGTCCGAAAAATTGGCTGAAAATTAGTGAAAAATCAAAATGTTTTAATTTAAATTTTGGGTCAAAAAATGAGAAAATCAAAAAAATTCAAAAATTCTTAAAATCGGAATGCGAGAAAAAATTGAATTTCACAAAAAAAATTGAAAATTTGAGAATTAAGAAAAAATCACATTTTTGAGGATTTTCAACCGAATTTTTCAAAACTTTTCGAAATCGAAAATTCAGAAAAATTTCGAGAATTTTCAACATTTTAATAGTTTTTTTTTCAAGAAATTTGAACGAAAATTGTTGAGACATTCAAAAATTTTTGTTTTTTTTTCGAGAATTTGAATTTTCAAAAAAGACAATTTGAGATTTAGGAATCTCTGAAAAACTGTAAAAATCAATTTTTTAGAAAAGAAATTCAAAAAAAAAATTTTTTTTTTGAGGATTTTCAGGCAAAACTTTTGAGAATTCTAAAAAATAAAACTTTTAGGTTTTCCGAAATTCAAAAAAAAAAATTTCAAAATTTCAAAAAAAAAACAAGAAAAAATGTCAAAAAATCAATTTTTAAGGGAACCTCAAATTTTTTCAAGGATTTTCAGACAGAAAAAAACTCCAGATAAATGTATATTTTATCCGGAAAAAATGCCGAAAAACTCCAAAATTTTGCAGGCCGATCCACCACTGATTTACGAGCCAAAACACCATGATCGAGACGATCGAATCCCACAAAAATGGCCGAAATTCGATAAATATCGTCTGCCAAAATCGGAAAAACGGACTCAAAAACTGGAAAAAACGCCATCAAATGCATCGATTTCTGGTCCAAAAATGACACGAAAACGATTGATGCAAACGAATTACGAACGACGGCTGAGAAATGAACAAATGGCACGGGAAGAGAGAAAAAAAGAGAAACTGCTGGAAAAATTGTATCAGAAAAAGGAAAAAGAGAGGAAACAACGAGAGGAAATGGAGAGAAAACATCAGAGAGTCGAAGAGCCGCCCGTTCGAAAATTCAAAGGAAGACTGCCGAGATTGGTGTTGAAAGTGCCCAAGGAGACGTTGAAAGAGCTGAAAAATGGTTTGAAATTGGCTAAAAACACAGCTAAATTGTGCTGATGAGGCCTAAAAACAGCCAAAATTTTCTGAAAAAGTTTTTAAATGTGTTGAAATTAGTGTAAAGTTTGACTGAAAATAATACAAAATTCTTAAAAAATGGTCTGAAGAAACTGGAAATATTTGTGAAAAATCGCTGAAAAAAGTTCGAAATTTGCTGAAAATTTTCGGAATTTGCAATAAAAACTAAAACAAGTCTGAAAATTGGCTGAAAATGCCCAATTTTGACGACAAATACTCTGAAATTAGGCTGGAAATAATGCTAAAATTAACAGAAAATTACTTGAAATTTGGCAGAAAATGATCTAAAATCAACTGAAAATAATTGAAAATTCTTGATTTTGTTGCCCTAAAATTGCCTGAAATTCGCTGAATTTTGTCTGAAATTGGTTCATTTATTCTGAAAATTAGCCTAAATTTTGACGATTTCCCATTTTCAGAATGTATTAGCAACAATCATAAACCGCATCACTGTCTGAAAATTGCTCTTTCTTCTGAAATTTTTCCCCCAAAAAATCCATTTTCAGATGAACCAATCTCATCGGGTCCACTTCTTCCATTGTCGCCCAAGAAAGACGAAAATCACAATTTGATGATTTCAAAATCTTCGAAACCTCATCATCGGAATTCTGCCGCCACGTCATCTGAATTTAGAAAAGTGAAAACGGAGAATATTGGCGATAGAGCGCCATTGCTGAAGATGAAAATTTCATTTAGAAAGTGTTATGAGGGTAAGAAAAGCATGAAATCGCTTAGGTTTTTCTAGGTCTTTGAAGAAAATGATGGCCTAGAAATGCATTTTTCTAGGCCAATTTTCAACTGGACGGCCTAGAATTTGACGAGCAAAGTAATGGTGGCCTAGAAATTTGGTTTTCTAGGCCACCCTTAGCTTGATGGCCTAGAATTTGCAAAAATTAGACCACCAATTATTATTATTTTTCAGGAGCAATGATAATGAAAGTGGTAACCACTGATTATCAGAAGATTTTCAATGGAGCATGGCAGCCGCTAGTTGGCACGTGGCAGAGCAGAAATGGCGTTTACTCGAAAACGGTACGGGGTACATTTCTAGAACTACGACGTTCTAGAACTTGGATTTTTATGAAGTTTTCTAAATCATGGACATTTATAAACTAGCCATTCGAGAACTGCGTCGTTTTGAAACTTGGGTTTTGTGAAACTTGCCATTCAGAGCCGTCTAAAAACTGGTCATTCTAAAACTGCAACTTTTCAGAACTTGGTTTTTTGAAACGTTCCAAAACAGGGAACTGTGGTTCCGGAACTGTGGCGTTCTATAACATCAGTTTTTTGAAAAATTCCAAATCAAGAACATTTACAAACTAGTCATTCTAGAACTGTGAAGTTTCAGAACTTGAACAGTGAAATTTTGAAACTGAAATTTTTCAAAAAAACCGCGACATTTTCGAACCGCCCGCTTCGAAACTTTCTCCCTCCTGGAAAAAAATTTTTCCAACCCAAATAAATTTTTTATTCATTTTCTCACGAAGTTGTCATGAAATACTGCACTTTGTGCATACTAAATAAGTACTCAAAAGTAGTTGAAGTAACAATTTTAATGCAAATTTAATTTTTATTTAACAGAAAAAAAAGTCTGAAAATTGGCTGAAAACTCGGAATTTTTTGGCTGAAATTTCTTGAAATTTCAGAATTTTCTGAAAAATTGGTGTTTTTTAATTTTGCGAAAAAAAAGTCTGAAAATTGGCTGAAAACTCGGAATTTTTTGGCTGAAATTTCTTGAAATTTCAGAATTTTCTGAAAAATTGGTGTTTTTTAATTTTGCGAAAAAAAATTCTGAAAATTCGAAAAACTGAAAATCTTAAAACTTTCCATTTTTCACCCAAAAATATTTTATTTCCAGACACTTCCCCGAAGAGCCCAAAAAAGAGCATCCACCACTCCATCATCAGCAACGTCTTCTAAAAATCTTCCAAAGATAAAATTCAAGAGAAATTCGGATAACGATTATTCGATAATTTAATTGTCAAATGGCTTCTTTTCTTTTTTTTATTGGCAAAAATCCTAAAAATTCGGATTTTTCCAATATTTTTTCTCCTCGACGTTCTCTTTTTTGCATAATATCCTCAATTATTTTATTTGATTCCCCAACTTTTTTGCATTGTCTCCTCTATTTTTAATGAATTCTAAATGCTTTTTTAACCAAAATTTTCAAGAATTTCTAGCTAGTTTTTTTTTGTTGTTGAGAAAATTGGCCGAAATTGAAAAATTCAAAAAAGTTTCTTGTTCCTTCCAGAGCCCATAAATGATGGCTCCGCGAGCCAAATGAGATGTGGCGCCGTTTGGAACATGGACATGACACGAATGAAACTGACACACAGACAAACTTCACAAAACTTTGTTTCTTTTCGTTTTTGAGAAGAAAAATGTTTCAAAACTTTTGGAACATTTTTTTCCTTTTTTTCCGGAGAAAAAAGCTAAATTTTTAAGAAAAATTTTGAAAACTCAGATGTCAGCAAATGCGCTCTATTGAGAATTTTATGAATTTCAGCAAATTCCAAAGTTAAGAAACACGTTTAACAAAATTCTGGAAATTCTGAAAAAATGCATTTTCGAAAAATTTTAGAATGATTTTTTTCAAAACAAAAATTTTTCAAAAATGATTTTTTTCAAAAAAATATGCAAGATTCGAAACTTTTTATTGAAAAATCGTTAACATTTTGAAAAATCTGAAATTCTCAGAATTTTCAGATAATGTTTTAAAAAATTATTCGAAAAATTGAATTTCTAAAAGTTCCAGGAAATTCAGAGATCCCGAGAATCTGAAATCCGAATTTCGAAGAAACTTCTGGAAATACGGATTGCAAACATCTGAGGACTGGTTCTGAATTTTCGAAATTTTCGCATTTTCAATGAATTGGGTTTTTTTTAACTTTTCCAGGAAATTCCAAGAAAAATATTTTTTTCAAATCATTTTTTGACATAAAAATGCCGTATCTGTTCCGATTTTTCTCAAACAAACTACATGTTTAAAAAAATGTTCCGAACTACAAATTTTATGCAAAATTTTTCTTTTTCTTTCTCTTTTTCTTCCCACAAAATTTATGATTCGTCATTTCCTCGTTTTGAAGGAAAAAAAAGAAGATGCAAAAGACAAGAAGAACGAAAAGTTCATAACTTTTTACAGCTTAATTTTGCACGAAGAGCGCTTTTTTGAGAATTTCAGAAAAGTTTTTAAAAAAATGATATTTTGGTTTTTTGGTTAACTTCGGGCACCTGAAAACCTGGTCCAGAATTGTTCAATTTGTCTGAAATATTCAGGGTGTACAAAACAAAGGAAGAGCTTCATTTTTGTAGTTGACAACTTTTTTTAAAAATTTCTGTCTGACGAGATAGAGCATTGTTGAAGCAGAAGGTTTCAGAAACTTTCTGAATTTTTGAACTTCCGAATTTTTGAATTTCTGAATTTATGACTTTCTCATGTTTGAATTTTTCTCCGTTTTTTTTTAAATTCCTGGGAAACCGAATATTTAAAGTTTATGGAACATTCAAATTCAGATTTTTAGAGTTTCTGAATTTTTGGAAATTTCCAAATTTTAGTAATTCCGACTATAAAAAGTTCGATTACATGAAATCTGTTAATTTTTATTTCTATGTTTAGAATTCTCAATTTTCAGAGTTACCGTAAAACCAGTAATAGAAGGTCCCTCCAACTTTTAACTTTGAGTTAATTTTTCTCGGTTCCTGTCAAAGATATCAAAAAGTTGTCAATTGATAAATTGTTAACTATGATATCAGCAGCATTTTATCAGTTGACACATTTTTGATATCTCTTATAGGAGTGCGAATAATTGAGCTCAAACTTGACAGTGTGGGCCCTTCTATTAGGGGTTTCACGGTATCCAATTTTTAGCCCAAATGTTCTCTTTTTTAGATAAGAAATCCAAAAATCACATATTCCGGAATTTTGAAATTTCTGAAAAATTTTGATTCCCATAGTTCCCAAATTTTCTTAAATTTTGATTTTTCAAGTTTCTCCAAGATTCTAAGATTTTCAAACTCCAAGGATCCCAAAATCCTTCTGTGATTTGTGTACTCTTAAAAACCCACTCAAACCAAAAATTGCAACTTTTTCTTTCCAGTTTCCGGACATTTTTGTTCCCCTTTTGTTCAAATTTCTGACGTTTTTTTTTCTCAAAAAGTCTAGTTTGTTCAATTTCTCTCTCTCTCCAATTATACTCGAAAAAATATCTTGAGAGAGTGGGTTTCTAAATTTAATAATCTCTCGTTTTTTTCGACAAACATGGAGCACACAAATCCTTGGAAATCCTTGCTCTTTTTGGAGCAAACAACCACCAAAACATTTTCCAAAAAAATGTTTTTTTGGAAAAGTTCTTGGTTGGTTTTTCGGCAAAAAGATACAACTTTTGACAGAGAGACAAATGACCAAAGGGTGTTAGTTTCTCTTTTTTGAAAGATTTTTTGACTTTTTTTAATGGGAATTTTACGAAATATTTTTAATGATTCTGGAAATTCTAAAGCTCAGAAGTTCAGATATTTGAAATTCTGAAATACAGAAAATTCAGGAATTTAAAAAATCAGAAATATCAAAATTCTGAACATTTCAGTAATTCACAAATGTCTGAGATCCTGAGAAAATAAATTTTGAATTTTTGAAAATCTGAAATCACAAAAACAAAAATTACAATTTCAGAAATATTAAAAATTTAAATAAATTTGTTTTTCTGAAAATTTGCCAAAATTTCAGAAAAAATTCCAATATTTTAGAAAAGACGACTTCTAAAATTTGGAAGCTTCGTAATTCAAAAAGTTTAGAATTTCAAACATCTCAAAAAAAATCAAAACAATTCTGAACATTTTTTTAAGAATCGGCATTTTCAAGAAATACCGTAAAACTTGTAATAGAAAAGCCCCCAAACTGTCAAGCTCAATTATCTCGGTTCCTTTGAAAGATATAAAAAATGTGTCAACTGACCAAATATTCTTAATATTATGGCAAACAATTGATCAGTTGACAACTTTTTGACATCTTCAACAGGAACCGAGAAAAATTGGCACAAAGTTAGAAGTTAGGGGTCCTTTCTATTACAGGTTTTATGGTAAACAATTTGTAGAATAGTCGAGATCTGAAATTTTAAATTTTTTAATCCGAAAATTCAAAAATTCAAAACAATTCAAAACAATTAACATTTTTCGAAAGTCCAAATTTTTTGAAGTCAGATATTTTGACTGTCTCTGAAATTCTAAAGTTCTGAAAGTTTTAACTTTATAAAATTTCAATTCCATTATTCCTTTTTTCCAACGATTTTTGATTCCTCAATCCCCTCTTTTATTCCCCAAAAATCTCTCCTGGTCCATTTCCTTTTCAACCATTAATCACTTTTTGTTTCTCTCGTTTTTTTCCCAATTTTTCACTTTTGAATTTCACTCTTTTTCTCCACTCGTTTTGCTCCTTTTGGTCCCTTTTAGGTCTTTTTTCCAATGGGAACACTCAAAAAAAGAAAGCACGTCTTCTTGGCCGATTCTGAATTCAGATTTCAGAAGGAAAAAAAGAAGAAGACGTCCTCTTCTTCGTTTTCTGCTCTGTCGAATTTCACGAAATTCGAATTTATTTTTTTTTTCCAAATTTTATCGCATTTTCCGAGAACAAAGGAAACGGAAAACTGAATTCGATTTTTTGCTTTTTTTGCAGAAAAAGAAAACATTAAAAGTCTAAATTTCGCAAAAAATCTTTTGGTTCCACTCCTGAAAATTCCGAAAAAAAACCGTAAAACCTGTAATAGAAGGGCCCCCACGATGTAAAGTTTGAGCTTAATTATCTAGATTCCTATGAGAGATATCAAGATTAAGTCAACTGATAAAATGTTAATGATAAAATAGTGAACATTTGATTGGTTATCAACTTTCGGCTGAATTCAAATATTGCCCCCACCCCAATTCAAGTATAGCCCCCCCAAAATGAACCATAGTAGAGCCACCGTAACCGTCATGATGCAAATTTTAAGCTTTTTTTAAAATCTTTCTTTGATTTTATCGGAATTTGTGTCATTTTTTACCATTTTTCCTTGTTTCTTGGGAACTTTTTCTGAAAAATACTTGTCAGATATGTATATCTTACCAGAAGAACTTCCAAAATTAAAACATTCTAAAATTCAGGCTTAGGCCAAAAAATGGTGGGGACCTATTTTTGAATTGGTGGGGGTCTAAAATTGAATGGGTGGGGGTTATTTTTGAATAGGTGGGGGTCATATTTGAATAAAGTGGGGGGCTCAGACAAGGTTCTCTTTTTTTGGGGGGGCGGGGCTATTTTTGAATGGTTGGGGGGCTTTAATTGAAGAAGGCAGGGAGGAGTGGGGCCATATTTTAAGAATACCAGGTTTTTCAAGTATAGGCCCCCACTTTGTACTAGTGGGGGGTCATACTTTAATCAACCAATTCAACTTCAGCCCCCCACACCTCAGTAGAGCCCCCCCCCCCCACCCATTTTGTACTTGTGGGGGGCTCTACTATAGTTGTTTATAAGGTGGGGGGAGGGGGTCATATTGAGGTGGGGGGCTATATTTGAATTATACCCAACTTTCTTATATCTTTAACAGAAACCGAGAGAAATTGGCTCAAAGTTGAAAGTTAGGAGGCCCTTCTATTACAGGTTTTACGGTATGTGTGTATTATTGAGAAAAAAACCTTTTTTTTTTAATTCAGCAAAAGCTATTTCACATTTTTTGGCCACATAATTTTTTCTTAAAATTTTACAACTTTCTAATTTTGGAAAATTTCTGTTGTCCTTTTTTTTTAAATCTGATGGAACTTTGAAATCTTAAAATTCCTATTTTTAGCAGAACCTTTTTTTAAATCCCATGAGGTTTTCAAAATCTGCAATTTGAAATCCCATAAAATCTGAAACTTAAAAATTTGGAAGTACCAAAATAACGAAGTTTCTGAAACTCTAAATTCCTAAATTTTTGATATTCAGAAGTTCGGAAATTCTGAAATACTGGAATTAAAAAATTCGGAAATTCGGAAATTTAGAAATTCTGGAATTCTGAATTTCTCGAAATTTATGCTATGAATCAAGAATCCAAGTATTCTAAAAATTCTAGGATTCTGAAACTCAGAAATTCAAAAATTCAAAAATTCACGAATCCGAAAATTTCAATTTTCAACTTTCCAAAACACTGGAATTCTTGTAAACTGCCAATTCTTGGGCCTTCAACTCCATTCCAAACATAAAAATTTTGTGTTTAGCCAGTTTTCAAAAAAATGGGTCCCAAGAGAATTTTGTCAAGATGGGGGGGGGGGGGGGGGGGTCACACCAACTTCAGAAAATTTTTTTGAATCTTCTATTTTTTTTGAAAATGACTATGTTGTTCTGATTTTCTGAACTTCTGGATTTCCTGATATTCCGAGCTTCTAAATTTGAAATTTTCCTGAATTTCCGAATTTCTAAAAATTGAGTTTTTAACCTCTACAAACCTCATGGTCCTTCAAAAAACCAATAAAACACTGGAAGTAAAAAACAAAAAAAATATGTTTTTTCTCCTGAATCATAACAGTTTCAAAGCGAAAAAGGAGCTAAAAACCGAGAACGAAAATTCAGTGGTCCGTGAAAAAAATTATGTTCCCTCGGAGCACTTCGTTCCATTTTTTGTCCCATTTTTCTCTGTGTTTCCTCAAAAAAATGTCCCATTTTTTGTCTAGTCAACATTTTTATATGTCAATGTAACTTCTTTTTTATTTTTATTTGTTCCATTTGAATGGATGTCAATATTTTGTAGTTTAGGTTTTTGAGGTTTTGGTTTAGTGGTTTTTTTTTCAGAAATTCAGAAATTCATAAATTCATAAATTCAGAGTTCAGAAATTCAGAAATTCAGAAATTCAGAAATTCAGAAATTCAGAAATTCAGAAATTCAGAAATTTAGAAATTCAGAAATTCAGAAATTCAGAAATTCGGAGATTGGGAAATTCGGAGATTCGGAAATTCAAATATTTGGAAATTCAGAAATTCGAAAAATCACAAATTCAGAAAGTCAGGAAACTTTAAGCATTTTTGAATACCGTGAATTTCAAAGTTCAAAAGCTTAAAAGCTCAAAAAAACACGAATAAATATTCCGAAAATTTTCAAAAGTGCTAAAAGGTGAAGGAATCTAAAAAACCCAAGAAATCTGAAAAATCCAGAGAAACTCCAAAAATTCCAGAAATTTTCCGGAAAAAAACAGGAAACAAAAAACGTTCAATTTCAGACATATATTTTATATATTTAACATATATTTAATTCCAGACATATATTTTTTCAATTTCGAACTTCCTTTTTTATTTCCTTGTTTTTTTCTCTCCCCAAACATCCCTAATACATACATTTCTTTTTTGGATAATGATTCACTATTGTTGTTTTGTCCAACACATCCCCAAAAGTCAAGAAAACACGACGACCCGGATCCCAAAAAATGGGAAGAAGAGACACAGAAAAATTTGGATGTTTTGAATTTTTTCCTCAATTTTTTCTTTTATTTTTTGAGTAGAAAAAACAACAAGAACTATTCATAAATAACTTTTTCGAAGATATTTCTGGAAAAAGTGGGCGGAGCCTGGAAGTGTTTTCCATAAAACACTTGAAAATTTTGTCTTTGTTTTTGGTTTTTTGGAATCAAATTTCTGGATTTTTGAGGTTTAAATTTGGGTTTTTCCACATGACATCAAATTACTGGAAATTTCGAAAAAAATGTGTTTTGGTTAAAATTATAAAAATCAGAATTTTGAAAAAACTCAAAAATTGTTCAAAAAAGCTAAAAAAAATCTAAGCTAAAAAAAATCGAAATTTAAAAAAAATCTTTTTTTCTCCAATTCATCTTTGTGAAATTACCTGTCGATTTCCGCCGCCTGTCGGCGGCTACATCTCCTGGCTTCACTAAAAACGTTCGAATCTTAAAACCGGAGAAAAATATATGAAGTCTCAGTTGATTGTGTTGTTAATTTTCCTCAACTTAACTGAAAGCCTGTTTTTGTCCCTACGGGGCTAAACTTCCTGGCTTACATCACCTGTAGTTTTATAGAAAAAAATGTATTTTTAATATAAACGTAGAAACTGTGAGGACGGAAAAACTAATGAAAAAACTTCTGAAATTCTCCAATTCTTAAACTCTTAAACCTGCAAATCGGGAAATTTTAATATTCTGAGAATTCTAAATGTATAAAACCAATCATGGTATTTTTTGCAAATTTGGGGAATTAGGATCTCAAAAGTTTAGATCAATACCATTACTAATAAGAAAAACCAAATCTGTCTGTGAGAATGTATGTCGTGCAACTTTTAACCCCTTCAAAGATAACTTAAAGGGCTTGGAATTTGTATTGGTTTATGCCCGAATTTTTTTTTGAAATTTTGTTTCAGGCGTCTTCTGGAGAAGTTATTGTTTTTCTACAGTACACATTTCAAAAATTATTAAAACAATATTCAGGTCGTCGAACCGCCCTGATGATTTTTTTATTCGAGTTTCTAGTTTTTCAAACATTTGGGTTTTTACATTTTTAGTTTTTTCGAGTTTCTGAATTTTTGAACTCTCGAATTTTGGATTTTTCAAAATACTGCATTTCAGATCTCATAATTTCTGGGATTTTAAATTTTCGAATTTCCGTATTTCTGACTTTCTGAGATTGATAAATTACCAAACTTTAAAATTTTTAACGCAAATCTGATTTTCATAATTTCTCTAAAACTTGTTTTCTGAGTTTTTGATTCACAAAGGTTTTCCGAATTTTCTAAATTCCGAAATTGAACTGTCTGATATTCTGAATTTTCAATTTTTTGAACTCCCCAACTTTGGAAATATTGGATTTTCAAATTTTCGAGTGCTCTAACTTTCAAGTTCCCAAATTCCATAATTCCGAATATCTGAATTTTTATTCTTCTGAATTTCCGTACTTTGGGCATTTGAATTTTCTGGTTTTCAAACTTTAAAATTTCCGAGGCAAATAATTCTGAGGGTACGATAATTCGGGGGTACAAGGGGGTACAAAGTGATTTAGGGGTACAAAACCAACAATTCGGGGGTATAAACTAAACCTTTTTCTCAATATTTTGTACCCCCAAAT